AAGATGAAGATGGTCCTCAAGAATCATTTCCTAAAAACAAAAAAGAAAAAAGAAAAAAAATCAAATGAAATCATTAACAACAAATGAAAAGAATTTAAAAAAACTTATCTTATACTATATTATAAAACATTTGACAAAAACTCTTAAGAACCATTTTTAATGCATGAAGTATTGTATATTGATGCATATTTGACAAAAACTCTTAAAAACCATTTTTTATGCATGAATTACTGTATATTTATGCATATTACTTAAAATTCAAGATTACAAGTAAATTATGCATAAGTACAACTTATTAAAGCTCCATATTTGAAATATTAAAATCAAAATGTATCTCGTTGTATTACACGAGTATCCTTCTAGTTATAAAAAAAAAGTTTATTTTGTTTAAATTGAGTTTATTGGTTGTACAAATGATATCAGTTTGTATAGAGGGTCGTTTACCTAAATACTTACCCGGTAAATGCTTACCAAGTAAGCGCTTACCGTTAGGAGTCAACACTATAATTTATTTTACCGGGTAAAATTATAGTACATCAAAACGTATTTATGCAACAATATACCTAGTAAACGGTTATACGAGTAAAAGTTGTCACCCTCACTTACCGGATATGACATGGTTTACAAAATAAAACACTCTTATATATATATATATATATATATATATATATATATATATATATATATATATATATATATTATAATAGTATTTTAAATATAATATTGAAATACACTAAATGGAAAAAGGCAAAACAAGTAATAAACCAAAATTTAATATTAAAATAGAGAAAAATCATAAATGAGGTTTGGAATGTCCAATGATTTATTTGTTCTAAAAAATTGTCCAAGGACTTATTTAACATGTTTTGGAATGTCCAAGGACTTATTTGTTCCAAAAAAAAATCCAAAAACTTAATTATTCCAAACAAGAAAGTCCATTAATTTTCATTGTAATTTACCTAATAATAAAAACAGATAAGAAAAATTAAACAAAATATTTCGTCGACAGCAGGGTTCGAACCTGCGCGGGCGAAGCCCAACAGATTTCAAGTCTGTCTCCTTAACCACTCGGACATATCGACGCTTTTGTTAGGTTCTTCGATTTCTTATATTTATAGTCTTTAATGTATCTCTATTTCTGCATTAATTGTCGCATCTCACCCTATCCTTTATGATTCCCCCATGTGGTATTTTAATTAACCACAAACTGAATGGGCATAAAAAGGATGGAACAAAGTCTAACCACACATATATGTTTTATTTTCATTGAGAATCAGGTGTCGTTTACCACACGTTTACCCTGGTAAAGGCTTATCAAGTCACTTACTTTAATGAATGAATATGACAAGAACTAAAAATTTTACCCGGTAAGTAAAGACGATAACTCTTACCAAGGTTAGAGCTTACCGGGATAAATTGTTACATACGATGCGTTTTAGTGAATAAAATCTTATCCGATTAAATAAGCGACAGTATTGAATTTTACCAATAAATATTTACCGAGTAAATGTTTAGTTAAACAGCCACTTGGAGTTTTACACTAAAAAGGTAAGAAAGTAAACATTCATTTCCATTCAGACTCCCTGCCATGGCAATGATGGCACCAAATTTCTTATAGCAACCTAGATTTTATAAATATGTTTTAGCTACATATTTTTTTCAATGATTAATTAATTAAAGGGTGTAATGAAATGACGTGAAAAGAGTTTATAAATGGCAATATAACAGGAGCTCGGGTGGGACCCCTACATTAGCTCTAGAACTATTGTAGGGAGCCGAATATGGAAAAAAAACTCAATTCAATGGACTCCTTACATTAATTATCGCTATTCCACTCTCTAGATGTAAGGAGCCCTCTATAAATAATCTACATTATTTTATTATATAATTATGCACATCATCTCATTTGATTATTTTGTTTTATTCAAAAAGTAAAAATAATTAAAAAAATAATGTGTATTTTGCTGGTCATGCTAATTTCGGTACATTTTACTAGGGCTGTAAACGAACTGAACGTTCAGTGAACTGTTCGTGAACCGTTCGGCGGGAAGTTCGTTTATGTTTGTTTATTTAATAAATGAACGAACATGAACAAATTTTTTTGTTCGTTTAGTTAAACGAACGAACATGAACAAGAGTCTCGTTCGTTCATTTATGTTCGTGAACGTTCGTTCATTTACCGTTCGTTTACGTTCGTTTATATATTAAATTTAATATATAATCTTTTTATTATATACTTTGAATTCAAATAATATTTATTTATGTTCGTTTAGTCCGTTCGTTTATTTTCGTTCGTTTACGTTCGTTTAGCATGTTAATGAACGCACATAAACGAACACGAACATATATGGTTTCTAAACGAACGAACACGCATACAAAGATTTTCGTTCGTTTACCGTTCGTGTTCGTTCGGTTCGTTTACAGCCCTACATTTTACTATGCACATTAATTCAAATACAAGGAGTAAGATTGAAGATGTGGTAAATACATGCTAGTAACTAATGATGGCCAAATCGGTTCGGCTCGGAATTGGTAAGGACCAGTTATAAGACCGAAATCTGGGACCGGTTATGGATTTGGGGTGTTTCGTGGACCGGCCCGGCCTGGCCCGATTTAAAAAAATGTAACTATTTTTTTAAAATTGTAGCCGTTTTTTGGCCCCTTTTTTTGTATTTTTTGCTTTCTAAACACTATACGTAAGTGTCTTGGTTGAGGAATTTACATACCAAGTTCTCGATTCACAAAAAAAACGTTCATAATTATCGGTTTCTCGCTATATTTTGTAAGACAATGTAATTTTTTTAATTATAAAAAAACGCATTTTTAAAGTGTATTTGAGTGACCCAATTACAAATTTTATAATGTATTAAAAATATATATCATTAAAAAATAAAAATAAAAAAAATATTTTTTAATGAATGGGACCGGTAGCCCATAACCGGTTACAATAAAGCTTGACCGGACTCAACTTTTTCGAGCGGGACCGATTATGGCCGATTATGAAAAATCTTGGGACCAGCCCAAGACCGGTTTTTGACCATCAAGTAACGTCCAAAAAAGATATATGAATATACTTCTAAACTTTTCTAATAGAACTCATGTTATATATAAGCCCAATCCATTAATTGGTGGGTTGAGTTGAATGCAAGTTTTTAAGCCCAATCCATTAATTGGTGGGTTGAGTTGAATGCAAGTTTTTAAGCNATTGGTGGGTTGAGTTGAATGCAAGTTTTTAAGCCCAATCCATTAATTGGTGGGTTGAGTTGAATGCAAGTTTTTAAGCCCAATCCATTAATTGGCGGGTTCAGTTGAATGCAAGTTTTTAATCCCAAGGATATGTAGGAATTATCTTTTATTTAATCACATGTGATTTAATACAAAATTATATTCTTTGTATGTTTACTTGTATAGTTAAACATACATGTAATTTGTTCTGTATTTTTTTCTTTGACTATCGATACTCCAAACAACAAAGCATGCTAGAAAAATTGTGGAATGATCAAAACAAAATCATGTAGGAAAATAATCGATCATAAAAATGCGCAAAAAGTATGTTAAATATGTCGTATTCTTACAACAAATTTCTTACTAAGGGGTTGTTTGTTTACCTCTTAATAGTTCCATTAAGAGGCAACCTCTGAATCGTTAAGAGATGAATTTTGTTTGGCAAAAACAAGTTCGCCCTTTAATGGTTCTAAAACCCTTTGAATGATTTTGTATCATGCGCCTCCCTTAACCATTAAGATCCCCAATTTCATTGTAAACAATTATCAAACAATTATATTTCATTTTGCACTATATCATGAGAGTCTCTTAATCATTCTGACCACTTAATCATTTTACACCAAACCATTCAGCAACTGTCAAACAACCCCTTAGTCTACAACATTCCACATATTATAAAATTACTAATAGTTATAAAAATTAAGTAGATAATTTTGCATGCATCATTTTTCTTGACATCCTTTAACAAAATCATGATATAAATTAAACAATTTATCGCGCACCACCCAAAAAAATTCACATGAAACTCATATGAGTTGCAAAGCTATAACGTGATTCTAACAAGTTCAGTTGATCTTCTTATAAGGCTTTAAATTGTTGAATTTGAAGTTGAGAACTTAATTCGTCCCTTTTCTTGCTTCAACTTCCCCGTGCATTGCTTTCTCTCGATTTCCTTTTTGGGGTTTTCATTTTGTAGGGCCACCATCCGTTGCTATATGTACAAGTGTTTGGTGATTCATTATTAAGACCACATTTAGGAAGGATAATCTTATGGGTACTGGGTTTCTATAATAAATGCAGGTTTTTGCTCTTTAGGTTTCCACCAACACAAATCGTTAGCTTCTAGAGTTTCCTCTATATCTCCTTTAAACTAATTAAAAAAAATACACATTTGAGTAACCCTCATCAAGAGCGGTCTTTTAAAACCCTAGCACATCACCTTCGTATTTGATTATCACAACTATGAGACTTAAAAATCACGTTAAATTGACATAAAACCATAAATACTAACTAAAAGTTCGATAAACTTGCAAAAAAGTAGATATAGAAAATATTTAAAGAATAATATACAGTACACAAAAAATCCTAAAAGTGATCGTATCAGACATAATCACACTATATATTACAAACTTTTTATGCACTCCTACCAATTTTTACACTGTGTTCTCAAAATCTATTTTACGAAGGAAAGGAAATGACAGGAAGGAGAATAGAAAGAAAGTAAAAAAAACTGTATTTTTAAAACTTCTTTAGGAGAGAAAATAATACAGAATAAACAATAATCAGTAAGTTTCCTCCTAAAACTTTCATTCCAAATATATAAAAAAAATATGAAATTAAAACCTTTTAAAAAGATTATTAATTTTTCATTAAAAAAAAACATTTATAAAAATGACATGAAAATTATTTCCTTTGTTTTCATTCATCTCCTTTCTCTTTCTTTCCCTCCATTTCAATCTATATTTTGTATTTCTTTTCTTCCTAAATTTGAGAACTCAGCGAGAACCAGAAGCCACCACCTTAGGTGGGACGGATAACCTACGAGCACTGCCACCGGCCGGTGCACCAGATAACGACATCCTTCTATTGACAGGTCGTGTCGTCGGTTTGTTTTCCGACGCCCCTTTCTTTCCCGACCCTAATGGACTCAGGTTAGTGTTAGAACTAGGGCTGGGGCTGGGACTGGGATTGGGACTCGGAATCATGGATTTGGTCTTCGTCGACCTTGGTGACGAAACCCTCGGTGAGGAAACCCTTGGCGAAGAAACCCTCGGTGACGAAACACGTGTAGACTCTTCATGGAATGAAGTATTCGATATGCTGTGCCTCCGATTTCGCGGCGACTGCATGGGGTCATTTGAGTTCTTGGGGCTTGATGGTGCTAGCCGCCGACGGGATACCGACGGAGACCTTGGGGACGATACAGAGGGTGATCGGTCGAGTTGTTTGCTCGTGTCTCCGACGGATGATGAACGCGTGAGTCCTTTTGGTTGTTGGTTATCGATGGAACTTTGGGATTCCCATGGCCGGGCAGCCATCCACCTGTCTAACCAGCTCCAACCCCAGTGTGGATTGTTTGGATCCATGAACGTCGGATTTGCAGACTTTGATGGGTTCTTCCATGTATACTGTCCATATAACCACAATCTGTTATGATTGAATTCATATAACATTATGAACAGATGAGTTATTGAAGACGGTTTTACCTGTTGAGTTTGGGCATAAGCCAACGCCCGTTCTCGTAATGCAGTTGCCTCTACTCTCTTTTGAATGCTGGCATCGACTTGCTCTTTTGTTCTTCGACTATTGTCCCAATCCTGATAAAACAGTTTACCCCAAAAGATTCAAGATTTCTTGATGTTACTAAAAGATTTCTCGATGTTGGGCTAACACTTACAGAGGATCTCAAGTTTTCGAGCTCTCTTTCGCGTTTCTGGAGAAGTTGTCGCTGGAGAGCTTGGTTCTCTTCAGTCATTCGAATCCTCCTGGCTCGAACCTGAGACTGGACACGAGCCAGAGTCTGCATACATCTTAACGTGGTTATTGCTTGTCGTTTAACCGATTGGCTTTGAACCAATGCTTTTAATCTTTCACTTCCTTTTATAGCACGTAAACTTTTTCTTGCCTTCAATAACAAATACCCAATAACCAGAAGGACCGTGTTAGCATATTCAAAACGCAATAATCGAATATGTTCATGTGGAGGTTGCATGTAGAACATTACCAAGAAACGACGAAAAGCTGTCTGAACCTTGATGGCAGCTACTTCTTCCTTGGATTTACCTAATAAACGACGAAAAGCCGCTGCCGCTCCTGCTGCCCTTGCTTTAAACGAATTTTTGTTCTGTTCATTCTCCAGTTTTTTGGGTTTGCTCGGCTCGTTCTCTGGTTTTTTGGGTTTGCTCGGCTCATATTCTGGTTTTTTGGGTTTGCCCTGCTCAATCTCCGGTTTTGTGGGTTTGCTTTGCTCAATCTCCGGTTTTGTGGGTTTGCTCTGCTCATCTTCCCGTTTTGTGGGGTTGCTCTGCTCATCTTCAGGTTTTGTGGGGTTGCTCTGCTCATTCTCTGGGTTTATGGGCTCGCTCTGCACATTCTCTGTTTTTGTGGGCTCACTTTGCTCATTCTCCGGTTTTGTGGGTTTGCTCGTCTCAGTTTCTAGCTTTGTGGGTTCGCTCTGGGCATTCTGGGATTCTGCCAATTTTAGCTCCTCATCTGGTTCCGATGGAGGAGAACGAAGTGCAGGGGTGGCGAATGCAGATTCCGCCATTGAAGAATCTGGTTCGACAGCCTTTTGCCTTCCAAACCATGATTTCTTAGAAACAGTTTTCTGGGGTTTCTATAATAACAGAAAAGAAACAAATAACTGTTTAAACCACATTGACATTTCGTTGAACAGGTTGTGTGCAGAAACGAAACAGCAAGAGAATCAATGAAATCTAAAAAAGAAAAAAGAACCTTCTCTTTCTTGTCCTTGGAATCACCGCTTGGGATAAAAGCTTTCCTCACTGCAGAAAACCAACCCCCCTTCTTCCCCATTAGCTCGTCAAATCATCTTCAAAACAATTAAAGAAAATCCTAAATTCGAAATCCCAATTGAAATAGAAAGAAAACTTAGCACATAACACATTGTAGTCGACGATATTTCAAATAAATAATGCGACAACAAAGAACGATACTGATGCACATTGCCTTAAGATAGGTCTTCGACCAAAACATACTACTGTTAATGGAGATAATTTGGCATTTAATCTTAAACCCAAATGAGATTACTATAAATGGAATGTTATGCGCAAAGCAAAAACAGAGACACCAAGGATTTGGGGGAAAACATAAAGATTAACGACAAATATTAAATACAGAAAGCAATATCAACCAAATCAAACAAAAAACACTCAATTTGAGAACATACAGGCATGAATGTTATAAAAAATTTGTTGACGAAGGAAGAAATTATATGAAAAAATGTGCATTGATGTTGATAAAAACCGAAATACCTGCAACAGAAGAGCATAAAATTTGAATATTTCTCTAGTCTTGAGAGAAAATTTGGAAGGAGATATTAAAGAAAAGACCCTTCTGCTGCGAGAGATTTTTAGAGGCAGAGAGAGGTCCTTTGTTCTTGAAAGGCAGGGAAAATGGTGAACAAGACAGACAAAGGGTTTTGCTATTTTGGGTAACGGTCAGTTTACGGATCATATTAACCTTTTGGCTTGGCGGGTTCTCTTTTCATATTGAATTTACAAAAACCATCCTTTAATTATAATCAACGGACAGTTTTGGTCCTTTTATTTTTCCCTTTTTTTGTCTGTCCAAAATAATCACTTTTATTACGAGGGAAAAAGTCCCAGCTTAATTTATGTGTCCATGTGTGTGAAATACACAGTACCACATGGTCGCTTGGTTTTCTCATTTGGCGTTGCACAACCATGGACCACGCCTTCGTGTCTCACAGAGTGTTCAAAAAGGTGTGATATGAACCATAAGGGTAGTGTCTGATTGGTTTGAGTTTGACTCTAAATATTAAAAATATCAGGGGGTCCCAGATTTAAATCCAAGGAGAAATAAAAATTCTCTTGTGGTCACGGAGGTTCAAATGCGGTGACTTCGGGCTATCTGCAAAGCAGGTGGTCGTCCTAGGATAAGTCGACTCGCATAGCGGGTTGAATATCCAGGTTAATTTAATAAAATGTGTGATATGATGCAAGATACGTCTTTGTCGTTACGAAATTCATCCATAGCGTTTTTGTAAGGCGTGGTTTATGTCATGACATCTTGAGGCATGCCATGGCGTGCGTTTTTTTGTAACACATTTTTTTTTACACTTTTAAGTTTAGATTTTACATTTTTATATATTTAATCACATCATTCACAGTTTCATAAATCCATAAACGTACAGACTTACGGTTTAAATGAAGTAAAATTACATATCTAAGTTGTATTTTAAATATTTAATGAAAAACATATTTGTATAATAAATAATCTATATGATTTTTCTTTTACTAATATGAATGCACATTTTCTTAATATCAGATAATATATAGAAAATATATATATCTATATATGACATACAAATTTGTCGCATTATGTCACGTCTTGAAAAACGTTTCGTCCTCCCCATGGCGTGTAAGGCTTGATCTCACAACCACGCTACGTCTGACGCCTTTTTGAACCCTTGGTCTCACACGACCGTATGGGACTTCCATTCTTCCGACATTCATCTACAATTTTGGGACTCTATAAGGCTGATTTTTGGACTCGGGCGACTTTCCAAGCGACTTAAGTCACATCACAAGTTGCTTGCGGCCCTTGAGGGTTAAAAACACGATTTTTCGGGGTTTCTTCATTTGGTCATATCTTTCTAGTCTCTTATCCGATTTGGGCGTTTCCGTAGGCTATGTCTTTTGAAGATCTTTAAAGGGGGAACAGAAGAATTAAAGTTTTGTTGATGATAAGGGTTTCTTAGTAGTTGAAAGGTAAGATCTAAATCCTTGATTTTTATCCTAGAGTTTGGTATTTTTAAATCCTCAACTTCCCTCTCCTCTTTGTGGTGTTTTGATAAATATTGAGGTGGCGTTTGTTTTTTAAGAGGTGCTGAAGTCTGAAGTCTGATTTTACTTCTGATTTTTAAGAGGTGGTCCTGAAGTCTGAAATCTGAATCAGTCAGACTGTTTGTTTTTGTAAACTAACAAACATCTGAAATCTGAATCAATAGTTTGCTTTTGTAACCAACAAAACATATGAATATGTATAATTTCTGATTTCACTTTTGTTTATGTTCCCAAGATTCCTTTAATTCTTCCTTCTCTTCCAGATCAAGTCTTCCATCCTCAATCTCCACCCTTATCTCACCACCATCAACCACCGTCCACCACCACTCCTTCTCTAAAATCCAACGTCCAAATCCACCTCTAAAATCGAAGCAAATCTCCATCATGATGAAAACTACAGGAACGAAAATACCTTGATTCACGAGGATAAAGGTGCACAACTACTGGTTTGCACAGAAACGAAAACACACATTGGCAAAAACCCACAGAGAAGAAAACCCTCTTGATTTGGATCTGATTTGGGTCGATTTGATGCCACCAGAGACGATGGAGGGTGAAGTCAATCGATTGAGACGGTAAGGAGGGTGAAGTCGATCGATTGAGAGGGTGAAGTCGATCGAATGATGAAGTATAAATCGGTTCTCTGGATAGTCTTCAGGATTAAGAGGAAAATAAGTTGCTAGATTATCACTTAATTTTTAAGAGAAAAATAAGTGATAAGTGGCTCTGAAAGAAAAAGAAAAACAAACGGTCTGAATTATCTTATGTATGACCGAATCAGACATAAGTGGTAAAATAAGAGCTTTTTTTAAAAAACAAACACCATCTGAGAGTCTAAGACAGTGTTATTGAAATCCTTACACCATAGATCTAGAAGTCTAGCTTATGGATCTCAAATCTCCGCCTTTGGAAGATAAAGATTTGGGGTTTGAAATCTAGGTTTAACTTAACTCAGCAAGGTGAGTTCAAATTGTTTTGTGAAAACTTTATACATGCCAAAAAATGTCCATTTTCAATTCTTAAGATGTTTTATTGATACTTATAAAATGTGTTGTTTATTTGATGAGATTTTCATCTTGAGTACATTTGATTTGTAAATCTTGTGAAAATGCTTATATTTGGAATTTTTGGACATTTTGATAAATGAATCATAAGAGTGTCATTTTGATGATTTCTTGCATAAATGGAGTTCATTTGACGTGAATGCACTCTTAATATATTTGGTTTTGTGAATCATTTAGAAAATGCACATTATTGTGTTAGAAAACATTTTGGAGTTATAAATAGTATGATTTTATTTGAAAAATGATTTGTCCCGACCAATGATGGGTTTTCGAGTTAATTATACTTTTAGATCATGTGTTTGTTATACTTTAGTTAAATACGTTTTTTTATTGTTTATATTGATTTTTATTGAGGAGTCAAATAAATGTGTAGTATATCGGATTGAAAGTGGCTCATTTGAGGTTTAGGGACATTTGTCCAGTTTAATTTACTTTATGTTCAGCTTTGAACATGATATGCATTTATTGCATTGTACTTGAGCAGTACATGTGTGAGTACGATGGTCATTCATTTTGGAGTCATATAATTTAGACTATACAACATTAGATCTATATGCATGTGATTCAGGCGTTTTTTCATAAGTGGGGAGCTTTGATGTCCTCACTTTGTGACGAATGCTCATGAAAGCATTATGGTCGTCTCGATATTGCGGAGGTAAACTCTTATGACTTAGACTCCGGGATTGTGAGTATTGTGGTTTTGATGTTTTCACCCTTATGCATAGGGTTAAATGCCATGTGTTGTCAAGTAGGCGATAGTTTTGTGTGAGTATTGAGTTCTGTTTTCATGTTAAATGAGTGTTTTAAATAATGATTTTTTATTACAAAAATGGTTGGAAAAAATGTTACTTTTATATTTAATACATTTTATTTAGAAATTGTGATTTAAATAACTTCTTTTTATTTTATCATTTTATATTGAAGATGAAAACTACTTAAACTCATTAGACATTAATCTTAACCCTTTATATTTGTCGACATGTGCATCATGTCATTGTTGGAGAATGATACTAGCATCACCATGAAGAGTTAAGTGCTAGTTAAATGACCAAGAAGGATTTAGCTATGCATGAACGTCTTCAACATTTTGGAGATAACGATTATTGTATGGTTTTTAGTAACACTCGACCTTAACTTAAACTTTATGTAAGACCTGGTTTATTATTTGTTGATGTTAAATCTAGATTTTCTATTTAAGGTAACTGTTGTTAATTTATAGGAAGAAATTTATCATTTTAATTGAGGTATTTCAAAAAATTTAAATTAATCGCTCTTTTTAGGTTTTAGAGTGTCACACAGTAACATGAAATTTTATTTTCCTTTGAATCTCCTTTTTTTCCATTCCTTCTTCAACACTAATAAAAAGAAGCCTTTTCTTTATTTCTCAAATTCAAGAACACCGTGTAAAGGGCTGTTTGACAATTACTGAATGGTTTGGTGCAGAATGATTAAGAGACTCTCATGATATAATGCAAAATAAAATATAATTGTTTGGTAATTATATACAATGAAATTAGGGCTCTTAATGGTTAAAGGAGATTCAGGATACAAAATCATTCAGATGGTTTTAGAATCATTAAAAGACAGTTTTTTTTGTCAAACAAAATTCATCTTTTAACGATTCAAATATTGTCTCTTAATAGAATTATTAAAAAGTAAAACAAACAAGCCCTAAGTTCATGTGCATTTAAATATAAATTCATTCCCATTTCCGACTTTAATCCTAAATTTTGGCTAAAATACTACAAATTTAGCCACTGGATTTTTTTAAATGTCACTATTAACCCTTGTACTATTGCTTTCTTCAAATCTGGGGTGTTGTATAAATAGTTACATGTTTTCATTTTACTTTTAATTTGAATACCGAATAAGGAGATTTATATCTAACTTGCAATTTTGGCCCCTTGACTAATAATGTTGCTTT